CTTTAGTAACTTGATCTTCTCATGGGCATCTGTTATTCTTCATCTGTTCTAACGTTACGTTTATTTCATATTAATCATTTTCGTCTTCACTTGTTACACTGATTGTGAGTAAAAAAAGTATATAGAATCCTTCTTCAATTAGAACGAATGTCGCTTTTAAATTTTTGTTTTAATATTTATTATCTTTTTTTGGTTCCGACTCTATTGCCAATACCTTTATGCTGATTTGATTGATAATAAATACTAATTTACTTCATTATTATTATTGTAGCGTAAACGAGTGAACTTTAGCGATCCTCCAATAACGGCAGAAAAAATGTATTACAAAGATGAAGCGGAAGATATGAAATCGGAAAATGATTCGTGTTTGTCCGAATTGAATCAAAGAAAATCAACACCCATTTACCCTCCATTAATAAACTGTCCAAACGATATAAAAGAAGTATTAAAGCAAATAAATGAAGATAGTAATTTCTACGACAACTTTCTTTCGTTAAAATTAAGTACGGTCGGTGATTTGGCGAAATTAACTTCGACTCAAGTGAATCAAATGGAGTTTCTGAGTAATCCTAAAGTATCGACGATTATCAGCGCTTTGAGTGCCTTCGCGGACAAGTATAATTCTAAAGAAAAATTGGAGGAACAAGTTGAAAGTTCGATGGTTCCTTCTGAAGATCCTAGTTTACCTGTTAACGGAGATACTGAAAATAACGTAAGTCTTTTTTATTGTTTTAATTGGATATTGTTTTAAAAAATTTTGTTTTGATTTCGCAGGCTTTACTTGTTTCGCCTTTTGAACGGTTAAAAAGGGCGAATACGGACATATCAGATATGTGGCAAAATTTAATGAACATTTGTACTAGACAAGAGTTAATGTTAATATCTGAAGGCTTGCAGGAATATTTGGAGACCATCTAAATGCGTGCGTTTTCGTAGTTTCTATTATACTTATTTCCACATGATTTAATTTTAAAGGTTTTTTGAAATAATTCACGGTTTGTTGATTTTTTCATATATGTTCATTTTTATTTACAATGACCATATAGTAAATATTAACTTCCATGATTAATAAAACATGTTTATTTTGTGGATGTCCAATAGTTAGTATGTTTTATGCTTTATAAGCAATATAAGTAAAATAAAAAAGTATTTATAATAACAAAACTTTTTTTCAACTAAATTTTTAGTTCAATCCTTTAGATGCAATTCCAATCAAATTATCTTTTGATTTTCCCTTCGTTCTCGATTTGAAACAATTTTTTTATTGCCTTGAAAATGAGTCAATTAGACAAATTTAATTAGGAAACGAGGCGTTAAAACAAAACGCACGCTATATAACAAAATTATACAGTGCGCTCGTAATGTATGGAAACATGAAAAAATCTTTATAACTGCTTGATTAATTTGTACAAAAATTTGTGTATAAGATACATCCAACCTTGTGAATTCAAATTTTCTATCTACAATGTTACCAAACTTATAGTTTCTGAGATACAATTATAATTCTTTTTTAAATGAGACTGTATACAGGGCTTCCCAAAACTCCCGGCACGGAGCTATAAGTTTTGAACGAGTGAAGAAAAAAAGAAAAGAAAAAAATAGTTTAGAACTTCCATGCAATGTGGAGTTTTTTTAGGGGATGACCATCCCTACATTTTTAAATAGCAACCCCTGTCGAGTTTTACCTTATTAAGGTAATCAAAAAAGAAACACAACCCCATATACCAAAACCCGATATCTTAATTCTTTTAAGAATTATCAGGTTTTCTTTCGACTATTTTCAACAAACTTGTTTTCAAAATTTGACTTTTATTAACTCCAAAAATGGCGCAAAAATTGACCGATAAAGAAAGAATCACTCTTTTAATAATTCGTGGCTTTGGGGATAGAACGAGATCTTACAATGAAGTGCGGCACGTCTGATTTCTTCATCAACGACCACCGATTTCTAAATCAACAGTCGAAAGAACTGTTCAAAGTTTTCAAGAACAGGGAACTGTGAAAGATCTTCCGAGAACTGGTAGACCAAAATCTGCAACAACTCCAGAAAAAACCGAAGAAGTATTACTGTCTTTTATTGAAGAAGCTTCAAGTTTCTTATTAAAAGGGTCTCAGGTACTATGGGCCTATCCCTATTTGCTACATGGCGTAAGAGACAGAAAATAAATACCCCACTCGGTCGCTTTGCCGAGTACGGCCGAAGAATCGGAGACTGGGCGTACTTATTTTCTCTCAAACCTGTGCTCTAGCCTTGTCGTCTCTTCAACCCTAAAGCGCCAGGCGCCCCACGCCAGCTTAAGGGGGTATGCCACCTTGAAGACCCGAAAATAATAGGTATTTTTAAATTTTTTTTGCAATCCGACGAAAGAAGTTTTCTAAAAACGGGGTTGCAGGGTGTGAATAAGCCACTTTTCTAGTTTTAAATACATATTTTATTTATTAACAGTTATTAAAATTGCACCCGCTAGATGTCGGTAATGTTAGGCTTGCAAATCGTGCAGGGTCAAACTGTGCGCAGGATTTCTCCTAACGCGTAAGTCGAATAATTAAAACTTGAATACGATTACTTTAGTAAACTCAAAAACTAGGAAACTACGTAGGATTTTTTAAAAATATTCATTTTTGACGAAATGGTGACGATTTTACAAGAAATGTCGTATTTATCGATAAAAAACGTACATAAAAATGGTTGTAAAACAGAGAATCTGAGACATATCGAAAAACGGCTACGTACTTACCTAGAATAAGAAAATACAAACTTTTGAAAAAAAAATCTTGAAAATCCATTGAAAAATGTGGAAGTTATCGTGTGCACAGATTTGAAAAATGTAGTTTCCAGAAACACGCGTTTAATGTTTTCGAATGTAAAAAATTGTATATTTTTTTAAGATACATCTAATCAGCGATTCCTGCACCATACAGCTGTCCTTCCTGAAGTTTATTTAAGCCTACTTCAATAGCGGTTTTGAAAAATGATACAGTGAAATTCTCCTAACTCGAATCACTAAGGGAGCGGAAGAAAACTTTGAGTTACGGAGAATTCGAGTTAGAGAAAAATTAGTAGAATTTCAGCTCTAAAGAAAAACATTAGAAATGTACTTTTCTAATACGTATATTTAAAGCAGAAACCTTAATACTATTGAAAGTAGAAAATTAATCAAGTTTTTTAAAGCAATCCGTAATTTTCTTTTGGCTTAAAGTAGATAATCGCTCTTTGTCGAAAAAATCTTCTATTAAATTATGAATATTATCTGGAACATTCTCTATTGATAATACAAAGGTTTCAAGCTTTCTAAGAGAGGAATAAGCTTCATCAAATGTAGGCACAGTGATAAGTATTTCGTTTTCAAGATTATCATCACCCTCATCTGATTCTGAAACAATACCGTAAGATAGGGTGTAAATAAAGTTAGGGCAACAGAAACTTGTTCATCATACCAACCTAACCTTCAGGATTATATAACTATCATAAAACATTCTCGCCAATCTCTTACTTTGCATGTCAGATGGTCAAGTTCCCCTGAAAATATAACTGAAGCATTAAGGGATGTAGTTTTATTGATGTTTGACGCTATTCTGATGGACAGGTTGTTTCTAGCGATAAAAGAGTCGATGAAATCTGGACCTGGACTGTTGTTCTTGAAGACCTTGACCTCCTTCCCTTGTCTATCTAGGTATTTTTTCACCACATCTCCAATAGCTAAAGTTTCAGAAATCAACAGCTTCTCAGACTTGCTTAAAACAGTCGAATGTCCAACGGGTCTTGAATTCCTTCTAAGTATCTTCCGTACTAATGTTGTCCGAGGCACTTTGAACATTTCTGCGACCTTTTTCCTTGATATCCCCTTCCGAACTGCATCCATAGCCTTTTCCAAGTTTTCCACTTTGTAATTCGTGTAGGGTTTTGACCTTAGAGTTTTTTTGATACGTTCACACAATTTTTAATCAGTGACTTCCTTTGATAACAAGAAAAAAAAACATCAGAAACAGAAACATTACCTAACCTCGCTTTTATGACACAGGACTGAACACGTATGCGTTTTGTCCATGTAGTCCCGGGGCAAGGTTTATATATTAAAGGTTGTCTAAGTACCTATGCTGCAATACTTTGATTTAGTTTGTGGGCGAGGGGCAAGAGCAGAAGTGTTTCGTGACGTAAGCGATCACGGATTGCGCACGCAACCTCATGGCCATGTGGTACTCCATGCATTTGTTTAATTTGAATTACTTGGCGGTATTATTTTCCACATGTGACGTAATGCGCAGTATGGTTGCGTACGAATCTAGACAACCTCTTATATATAAACCTTGGTCCCGGGGTGGCCAAGTAGCCGTATCTTACGATAGGAACATTAGATTTGTTTTGGTTCAAGAGTCTGTAGTTTCTGAGCCAGAATCTATGTGGTTTGATTCTGTAGTTAAAGTTACTTACACAGCGGATTCGAATATTTTATTCTTTGGCAAATTCGACTTATAGAAGTAAAAGTTGAAGAAATTCCGTAGTGGTTCAGTTCGAGTTACAGAGAAATTCGAGTTAGGGAAATTCGACTTATTAGACTTATTAGAGGATAATTCGAGATATAGAAGTTCGAGTTAGGGGAATTTCACTGTATTTTAATGATATTTCATAAATATTCCTACTGAAATGTATTTGATACATATCTTTAGATACGTTTCGTAAAAATCGTATCTGTCACGTATATGAAACGTAGTTCTAAAGGTGTGTCCAGACATTGCGCGGCAGGTGCGCGGCGTTCGTCGGACACAATTCTGCCGCGCGCCAGTTTGGACGTATTCAAATAACGTGTGCGCGGCAGTGCTACGCGGCATATGCGAGTTCGTTAGCAACAGCTGAAACACGATACGCCGCGCGCGTCGTCGTACAGATATCGCGCGGCACGCCGCGCGCTATTGCCGCGCAATGTCTGGACACACCTTAAGATGTTTCATTTAATTCACTGTACGTTAAAATTGAAATGTTTCACAGATGTTGCTTGTTTACTGGGTAACAACGAGTCTAGTGTGAGATATAACCAAGAGAGTTGACTTCCGAAGAAATATCCTGAAGGGTGGTTCCGGAGAAGAGAGGAAGAGTTTTAGTGGGTAGTAGAGGTTAATTAATTGTAGTCCCTGAATCCTGGCCGAAATACGATCATCTTCTGACACACGAATTTCCGCTCCTCTGCGCAAAAAAAATGTTTATTGTTAAGCCATTTACGGTCAAGGTGTGAAATTATTGTAAAATTTTGAGAATTATTAAAAAAAAAATATAAAAAAAAATCGCAAAAACCTTACGTCAAAAAAAGTTAAAAAAAAGTAAAAAAATTGTGTGTAAACGCATTAATGGGCGTAAATGGCTTGAAATTATTGAAACGTTCTATAATATTAAACAGTCAAAATTCCATTTTAAATGAGATTAGAAAAAAATATATCAATTTTATATTAGTAATGGAAATTAAGAGACGACAATATTATTATTTATCTACGACTGCTTGGATAAGTCATCATTACCGCACTCATTTGAGGTGATTTGAGTTACGTAATGAAGTTCATTACCGCACTGGTTTCATTACGTAACGCATTTTTAGCCTAATCAGAACAGACTTAATTTACTGAAACGAGCAACAATACAAAAGAAAAAGTGCTATCTACTTACAGAGAAACAATACTATTTATTATAAACATTAATTGTTATGTTTTTACATTTCAAAACACTTATTCCAGATGAGTAAACATGTTGTTGAAACTGACAATTCAAAATTGTCAACAATCATTTCAAAATATTTTTATAAATGT